ACCGGCAAAAATTAGGACAACCCTTTTTCTGAGAATTTTAAAAAATCGCTCCTTAGAGAAGGATCAAGGTTTACAGAAGGTTCAATGTGAGACCATAAAAAAGTATGAATAATAAAAAAACTGCTCGGACCGAGGCGAATGTTCAACGCCCTTCAACTTCTATAAATCAGTGTTCCATATTAAAAACGATGAACAAAACGTAATTTTTTTCTCAGATCTATTTTTGAGAGGAAAATTTAATATGCAAAACGATAAATTTTGCTTCTACTAGCAGATAAAATCAACCAAATAGCTTGCATCAGTTAAAATGTGAATGATTTTTGAGCCGGATTAAAGTGCCTGTGAGGCCTTTTATAACTAAAAATTTCTCGCGTTACTTATCCCAAGTTGGTCAAATCGGAAGTATTTAAATCCTCATAAAATTCATTCATGTAATTATTTGTACTAATCGAACAGCATGAAAAGTGTTTGATTAGCCTTTTCCATATATGAAAGCTGAAGACTAGCATTTTTGGTCAACCCGGGATCATAGAGATTGGAAGAATACAACTTTCTCAAAAATAAAATTGCCGAACTGAAAAAGTACATTGATTAACGAAGTAGAAAAAACGAAAGCTCGCTGGATCTCAATTGCTTTATTTTGCAATTAGTTTTCGATTGCAATATTTTTTCGGTTTTTTTTAATTAGATCAATGTATTCTGACCTCAAAATAATTTATGAAAAACCGGTGTTTTACCCCCCCCCCCCCCCCCCCCCCCCTAAATCAATTTGGGGAACGGTTCATCCCAGGTAGCCGAAAGCTCAGGTTATTTCTCACACTAAAATTGACCAAGCCACTGATTTGCGCTCCACGCCATGCGCCCTCGATCTTTTTGAAGTGTGTTTTGTTCTTTTAGAGGATTTTTGTCTGCCGGAACAAAAAGAATGGGCTACGTGGGTGCTTGGTTGTGACACGTCACTGTTTTCTTGTGATTCATGACTTAAAAGTAAAACCTTATTTTATCTGAAACTATGGCGGATATTCAGCAAACCACATCTACAAACCGCCATATCTTGAAGCCGAAATTAAATCACGTAAACTAAATAATAATTATGTAACAATTGCATCACAACAGTGACAAATCTGTTGTTGTGTTGCATAATAATATTAATTTTTGGCTTCTTGGAATGGTAAGTGTATTTTGGGTTGGTTGACCCAGCGGCTTGTTGGCCTACCACAGAAATAATGTTCTGTGTCAATAAATTTCCGCCCACGTTTCGTTTTGATAGAACACATTTCTTTTGAAACGTTTTGTGGTAAAAAATACTTTTTATATCCTTTCCCATATCGCATTCCTCGTTGATGGTAGATGGAGAAAAAAGGTTTGGGATTTGATTTTCTTCTTGAGATATTTCGTACCTTGGCTAAATTTATGCAATAAAAACAAGACATTTAAAGCGATGAGCGCCTTACAAAATCCTAAAATTATCGGATTGGGTCCCGAAGTTTCGCAACCATGAAGTTCAATCCCAACTGAAGAAGACTTCGCATCTGTTGAAAAACTTGAAACGAATTGGATTCAATGATAGATTCCCCGCCCCAAATAAGGTACTTTAGCTAGCTCCTTCGATTGGTAGCGCTATTATTTATACTTTGATACAATGAGCAAATATCCTATGATATATTTTTTAACGCGAAAAATTCAAGCTGCGCAGCACTTCTAATTTCATTCAATAAATGCGGAGTAAACGATAAGAAGTTTAGTTTCAGATTTTTATATCGATTGATTAGCGAAACTTGCAAAGCGCGTTGTTATTTTGACATTCCGTGATTAACGCAATCTTTGTTTTGTTCAATATTTTTGCTGAATGCTCCTTTGAGAAATTTGTAATTCACACTCTTTGGTCGATATGTTAACAGCGCACGCACAATAAGTTGATAAAAAAGAATTGAACGCAAAAACAAGTCGCATGATTTTTTGTGAAAACTAAATTGGTTACATTTTAATTCTACCAAGGAAACAATTTAGTGCATGTTAAAGCGAGCGTTGAAATATTCTTCTGATTTTTCATCGCTCAGTGACTTAATTTTTCACATTAGCTTAAGTTTCAAAAGTGAATTTTTGAACCATTTCAAAATAAGTTTTCGCTCTACAATTTAATTTGTCTTGTCACTTCTTGTCGAAAAGATGGAAATTACGCAACCAGATGACAATTTGGAAATAATATTTACCCTGAAATTAAACAAATCGTTCGTGAAAAATGTTCAAGATTATCCGACATTTGCGGAAAACTTGATGATTATCAAAAACGATACCCAAAAGGAATGCGTGGGATCGGTTGCAATTAGTAACCCAGTTTTTGAGAGCCCCTGTTCCTCAAAATTGGGGAAGATCAAAGACAGCAAAAGTCCAAAAAGACGGGGGAGAAAACGAAAAAATACAGTCGATCGGCCTATGATGTTAAAAATGGTACAACAAGCGAAAGGACCAATATCGGTAGAGCAATCTGTACCTTTGCAAGATGGACTAGCAGTAGATCTCCCCCAACCTCTCGATCTTACAACAAAAACGGACTCAACAACGCAAGAAGTCGAAGAATCAAAAAATATTGACGAATCAACGCTACTGGAGAACAGCGGCTCACTTTCGATAAATGAAAATTTGCCACTCGACTTGTCTGCACCACCGAGCAAAACCGAAGAAGAAAAGTCTTCACACGAGGACGAGCATGAAGCTTCGGAGTCTAATTCCAGTCGAGAGCCGCTAGTACCAACAGATGACCCAAATTGTACAGCCCCCCAGAGCAAATCCGAAGGAGATGATTTGACTGCCGCTGAAATTTTGAGCATGATTACTGGTTCAGCGGGGGAGCCAGAACCTGGAGAAATAACTGCGCCCAAAAATTCAGTAAAAACAACATCCAAAAGAAAGGGACCGAAACCAAAGATAGGTCCGAACGGATCCCCTCTTGCCAAGAAAGGTACCAAAAAATTTTCAAATTTTTGAGTTTTTAAAAAAATGCCTTATTTAAATCAATCGCTTTTATTTAGCTGCAAAGGTTTTCTCTTGTGGGCATTGCGACTACAGTGCTTCTAGCCGACAGAATTTGAAGGATCACGAAATTGCAGATCATGCCACTTCTCGGCCGTTTGCATGCACTCTTTGCGAACACAGAAGCAAGCAGAAACAGAATCTTAAGCTGCACTACCTACATAAACATAAACTAACGCCTCTGGAAGCTGCTGAAATTCTTAAAACCAAATCAAAATCATCCAAAAGTGAAGATTCATCTGACATCCCGTTGTCGCAGGTTACGGTGGAGCCTTGCGCGCAACCAGTTACAGCCAGTTTTACTTTGGAACTAGATATAACCCCAGAAAAAGATCAAGAAACGAACAATAGAGAAGGTGCCGTTTCTCCTACTTCGTCTGTTGATTCAAAATTGAGTCTGACCTCCATTAAAGAAGAAGAAGATTCTATAGTAGAGGTCTGCGACCCCTAATCTAACCTCAGATACTTATCAAAATTTTGAAAAGTTTATTTTGCACGTTATTTGTGTATTTTTTCTGTTGCCTTTGCATTATAGCCGTTGGGCTGTGTTGAACAAACATTATCCACAACTTTGATGTTGATTTAATTTACATTTATTTATAAATTCGGTGTTTGAAATTGAAGTTTTAAATTCTAATTTTCAGGCATTTTACAACGCTGGCGCGGCCATCAAAATTCCAAAATTTTTGAAGTATTTGTTGGCGCAGCAATCGAAAAATGGTTTAGTCCTGGGGGGTTTCATCCGCAAATTTCCATTACTAAATGCGTTTTTGATGCACTTCGATCCATCCCGTGAATCCGAGTTATCTAGTTAGTCAAAAACAGTTTTATTTTGTTTTGGAGAGAATTGATTCTGGGGATTTAGTCCTCGAGCGTTGAAAATAATGTTGGTATGATTGGGTCAACTAAATTGAGCAACTCAGCTCTCCTAAGATTTCAATTAAACTCATTTTCCCTTCTCACAGCAAAAAAAACTATCCAAGTTTCTTTGGGTTTTTGGAAAGTTCATTACAAAATGCATTTTGATGCACTTCGATCCACCCCCTGGACGTGAGTGTCTAGTTAGCCAAAAACAGATAAATATGCATGGGCAACCCTTCAAGAAGATGTCAATGGGTTGTTTTGTGGTAATAAAACGTAAACAAATAACTCAATTCTTAACTCCATGCATAGTTCGTGGACTCAGTAAATGCCTAGGCAAGTTCTTAGTTAGTTAATTAGTAAGAAAAATAGAAAGGTGGAGTCCCTCATACGCGAAGGACCGATGCGCGAAAACAAAAATCAGCCAATCAGATTTCAGTAATCTAAAATTTGGAAAGAAAGTAAACATTTCCAGGGACTGGAGTATTGATATTGGCCGAATATAAAAACTGCAGAAATATGCAAAATTTTCAAATTGTCATTGACCGCCGCAAAATTCGGACAAATTTTTTATTTCAAGGGTTTCGTTATGAACGAAGCAAAACATTGCTTTATTTAACTCATTTAATTGAATGGCAATTGCTTCTTTTTAAAAATTGACTTCCGGCTAATTTTATTTTCGGTCTTTCGCTCTCGATTTTTTTCGCTCATTCGGTCCTTCGCGCATGAGAATAGCCCCCAAATAGAAACACAACTTTCTGTTAATTGTCTTAGAACCCAGTAATTTTCGAATTTATTCCGATTAGGTTTTGTATTGGTTAAATTTTATGCTGTGGAGTTTTGTTTGCGAGCGTAAAAATAATGTCAATATTTTTGGGCTGACTAAATTGATTGTATCAGCTCTTACTAAACTTAGATTAAGCCCCAATTTCCCTTGCACAAAAAATTGCGCAAGATGCGTTCTGATTCACTTCCCGTGGATCCGAGAGGCTAGCTAGTCAAAACCAGATGTTTTTTAAATTTAGTCGACCCTTTTTTTAGGTCGAACCAGTGGCGGATTTAGGGGGGACGGGGTGGGGCGAACGCCTTTTTCCTTTCAGGACAATATTTAATAAGTTTGAGTGGGAAGCGTGCGCCAAAAAAACGCGATATATTGTTCATAATTTAACAAAAAATTCCTTAAAACGCCTACTTTGGCCTGTTATTTCAAAATTTTCTCTGCGCGCAGAAAGTTTTACCAAAACAGAGTCTTTTTAGTGCTTTAGGAGAGCTCGGAAGTTTACTTTGCTCGACACAAAAAAAAGGTCAAAAAAAATTTTTTGAAAATCCGACCAACCCCCCCACCCCTCGAGAAAATCGTAGAAAAATCTTGAAAAAAAACAGGCCAAAAAAGGCGTTTTTAGGCACTTTTGGAAAATTTATACCAAAAAATCGCGGTTTTTCTGCGCGCGCTCCCCCCTCAAAATTAGTATATATTGGCGCCCTAGGCGCCTTTAGAAAATTTTTAAGGTCAGTAAACCAAAAAGGGATATCTCAAAATAGTACAAAGGGGGTCGAACCTCTGAGAGAAGGGGGACGTCCCCTCCGCCCCCTCCCATTCAAATCCGCTGGTGATGAGAACGCTCTCTCCATCAAGGTGTTAAAATGCTGTTTTGGGTTTTTGGGTTAATAAAACGTGTAACAGAATTTAATGGGATCACTGTCTCAATGAAAGTGGTCGTGGAAAAAAATTGTATAGCCACAAATATCTGATGCAAGTTCTTACTCAACATTGTTACTAATTAAAACCAAATATAAAAGGCACCCTCAAAATCGCATGAATGTATATTCATACGACAGAAAGTCACCATCACTGATTCAACACCGAGTTTTCGGATTACTCGCCGCCAAACGGTAAGCATCGTTTTCCTTTACACTCCTTTTTAACTTTGGTTCAACTTTCTCACCTTGGATATGTTTCCGATTCATGTGTATCGCTGCATTCCAAGATGGGATCCTTACGAGCATAGCCAAATCAATGACAATCAATAAGATGCAGCAACGGCTCTACGCTGCAATCACTCGACAAGAAAATTTGGGTAGAAGCCGGGTTAACCGTCCTTCTGTCTTGACAGCGTGTCAATTTTTCCAGAAAATGACCTCAATTTTGGTTTTATAGCCATATGTAGGTTTAGGAGATTTCTTCTCTAGGTTCGTTCTCGCTTTCCTAACGACACCGCAAAGTCGTCCCATGGGCAGTGAATTCAGCGGGGCAACTACTATCTACAATCCCGAAAGGGTTATTTTGGTGGCAATTTTTCTGTATTGTATTATAATGCTGGCCCCTTTCTGTGTATTGTTCTTCCGGCTGCCTTGTCTACTCGATACAATCGCAAGAATTTCAGAGGTTAAATTACTTCAAATGATTATATGTTCAATAACAGAAGGCTCTGAGTGGCCGGGATATAATCTAATAATCAAATCAAAAAGAAAGAGTGCGCAATTTATCGGCCAAATTGCCGAATTGCAATTAACTTCCAACTAATTCCACTAACACTAAACTATTCTCTCTCTCTAGAGAATCTCTGATGAGAACCAATTATCTACTGGTCTCCTACTCCGAGAACCAATTACCTGATTAACTAGCCATAATTGTTCTCTCTAACTAACGGGGAACCAACTAAACTCTCTCTCAGTATCAATTGCTCTCTTCTGTGACTGAGAACCAACTACTCTCAGTAGTAGCTAACAACTGTTCTGACTCTTAAAGGCTCTCCGGTACCCTCAAATTCGTTATCTTTCTTTACACTTAGTTTAAGTTGAGTGACGCCCTTACCTATCAGTCCTGACAATCGCTTAAATCACCCGTCCGCACATGTTTAAGGCTATATCATTCCCCCTGTCAATTCTGCCACGTGCCAACTTCGGTTTCGCTTATCAATCTTTTCACGCTTAGGTTACTATATCATGTAATACAGTAGAATCACTAATTCTACGGTCTTCCTTTCTAAGTCTATTATTCTCCCGAAATATGCTAATGACAAAAATTGTTACCGTCTTTCCACTAGGTTGGATTAACCCTTAACCTATCATAATCAGTTCACTCTACTCAATGTCATTTTGACTTCCTAATCTAGTTCCTCACTTACGCCAATTAATCGCAGACCCATTGGTCGGTCCCATTTTGGTTAATCAACTTCGACTAGTAAGCACTATTTGTTACAGAAATCCTAACTAGGGGACCTGACTGCTAATAAATTTACTCCTCGCAGTGCGACCCAACCTATTTTTCAAAAAGTAGCTAAAATTCATTAATAACGCAATGTTTAGCAATACTCTGAGGTGGGATCGCGCTTAGATATTAAACAAGCACCAATGAGCTCAGCAAAAAAGTTTCAAAAACTAGTTTTAATTCACAAAATCATCTATACCAAACCTAGCTGGAGGTCCTCTTACACGAACTGGTGTACCTACATCTGTAGTCCCACTTTTCATCTTAGGTTAATTCATCGCCGGCTCACCTGGAGGTCTACCTTTAGCTTCGATGGGGAGATTCGCGGGCTCTTCTTCTCTTCTGGCTTCAATCTCCGTTGCGTCGTACGTTTTCACCGCGTCGCTCTGTCGTCGCAAGCCTCCGTTTAGCCCAGGAGGAATAACTAGTGGCTCCACCACTATCCGATTTCTTTGCGGCAATTTTCCCAAAACTTCTTGCCTTGGGCCGGGATCATGGTTGAATCCTTAACTGTTGTTTGCCCAAAACGCCTCGTCTTCGACCATCGTCTCCGTATCATCAGAAAAATTAGCTGACCAACGATCTCCTCAACATAACGTTTCATCATGTCAAAATACGGAAACTTCACCTTACTCGGATTGCACACCTGTGACAACTTGTACCTGACTTCGGACATTCTGGCTATCACAAGATATGGTCCCACAGGTCAAAAGACTTCTTTGACTTAATCGTCTCTTGTGACCACACCCAGATCTTGTCACTACTCGCATAGGGTTCTGCGTGAATTTTCTTCCAGGTATAGTTCTTCCACGTTGGTCTGTCCCAAGTGTTTCTCCTGCGCTGCTGTGTGCGTCTCGGAACTGTTCGTCCAGCCATTCGGCAAAACCATCTTTCATCATCACTTCGTCAGGAGGTTTTGCATAGAACAGGTAAACCAGATACTGGCTCTCCTCTCCATGCACCATACTGAACGGCGTAGCTCCCGTTTTTCGATTGATCGTCGTGTTGTACAAAAAATTCAAGTACGACAACGCCGTGTCCCAGGTATTTGGATTGTCGGCAACTTTCGTGTTGTGTCCATCCGTCTGTCCAGTACGATCCAGCTTATAGAGAGAAGTCTGATTTTTGCCAATACCCAAAAGTCGGCACATCTCTTCAATCATTTTGCAACTAAAACTTTTTCCTTGATCTGTATGTAGCACATTGGGAGCTCCAAACTTCAGCACTTCAGCACCCAGTTCTCCACTATCTCACGAGCTACATCAGCAGAATCCGTCAACACCAGAGGAACTGCAATCGTGTACATTGTGAATAGATCCGTCATTACAAGCACATGGTTCGCTCTGGTACTCGTCGTCATTGTCAATGGTCCCAAGACATCTAGTCCCACCGCGCTGAATTGGATCCCGGGATCAAAGGAAGCCAGGCCCTCTGCCCGCTTCATCTTCATTGTCATCTGGACTCCTCGGCTTAAGCACTCCTGGACTTTTCTTTCAACGTCCGTTCTCATCGCCGGCCACCAATATCTTAGTCGTAAACTTGCCAGCATCTTCTCGGCTGCAAGCTGTCCCCCGCCAGTCTCTATCAAATCGAATTGCCTCAGAATTTCCCTCGGTCCAGCCACCAGAAATATCGTCAGAAAGGTTGGCCTGGAGCCATCGCCCTGAAACCACTTCTTGTAGAGTATTCCATCTTTAATACTCATTTCATCCCATCTTGACCAGTAGGCCAGCGTTTCAGGTCCATGCTGCATGGCCTGCTCCTTCGGAATGATGTTCGTTCCCAGTGACGGCATATCAATCGTCCCATTGCCTAGTCCCGCCCAGAAGAATACTTGAGCAATCACTTCATCTTTTTTCTGCATCTTCACAAATCCGCCTGATGTTCGTTTCCATCGAATCGACTCGCTGTCGTCGTCTTCATTCGTCGCTGTCTCGTTGACACTTGCAATTGTTTCCGGTACACACAGAGGTCTGCACTTTCGCAGTGCCTCTTCTAACGAGATCGCTTTGGGACAACCCCCAAATCGCCATCGTCCTTGCTTCCACGAATCGCTCCCGCTGAGTGATCGTCAAAACTAGCTGGCCATCCTCCCTCATCAGATGGGACTCCATCGAATTGCTCGAGGTAAGCTGCTATCTTCACTATCAGCTGCCTCCTCTTCTCGTTACTCGAATCGCCTTCTCCTTTATTCTGCCCTCCTGGATCATGGGGGGTCGAGAGAATCCACTTTGGGGGTTCAATGGGTGGCAGATAACGTATGGGAACTTTGAAACCCTCTTTTGTTCCAGTCCACAGGAAATCTTCATCCTAGCTGAATATTAACGTGCACAGATTTTCCTTCAGCGATCGAAGTCCGGTAACCATCTCTGCTTTCAGTTTCGAAACAACTAGCATATCAAGATCTTTGTCGACAGCCCCCAATTTCAGACGGGTGCTGATACGTCCACCCACTTTCATTTCCGGTTCATCTAATGTGCCCCGATCTGGCTCATTCTGAGACGAGTCTAAAAGATCTCGAGCTACATGAGGTCAGTCGTGGCCCCCGTATCTAGCAAGGCCTCGACTTGGGTTCTCCCGGGGTCCGTAGATATCGTGACTAATTCCCACTTGCTCGACACGTACCTGAGGTTGCTCTCTCGTTTCCCGCCCGGAAGAGATTTCCGTGCTCCGAGGTTATTGCTCCAAAATCGACAGAACTTGATCCTGTTACCACAAAATTTTACTGTCTACGTCTGCATCTCGTTTCGAACACTCGTTGTGGCTCCGTCTATACGAACCGTACGTAGTCTCGTCTCGCTTCGGTGCCTGTAGTCTCTGTAAGTCGGCCGGGACAAAATTTCCTTTAAACTATATCATTGCCTCGGCCCTCAGTAGTTTAATAGAACCGAAGCCTTTCTCGGACACT